GTGTGAAGTCCACTCATCTTAAAGTGGCCACGTTTGGACAACACTGACTTAGGGTCAGTTTCCTTTTTATATTCCAGTAACAGAGATGTAAGGAAACATGATGAAATGAGATTACACACACACACAGGGATCTTATGACATATTTTTAAAATTGTGCTTTGATTCCTGAATTACAATATCTTGCAGTTTTAATAAGGAGAGTGATTACACTACAATTCAAAGCCATCGGTATTACCAAAATTTGTCATAGTCTTTCCCCCAAAGTATCTTTTTCTTTCATGGCTACTGGCCCCATCCCTCTGAAATTTTTGAACCTAAGAAGAGAACAATGTAGCTTCATGGTCCCAGCAAAATGTGTGGCTTCTTTAAGGAGGAACCAACAGGTTGTGACAAAGTGGTCACACTCTGTCACAGCCTCCTTAATACCTCCTTAATAGCTACTACTGGGAGAGCCTCTTAAGGATGCACTCGTAGACGTAAAAAAGCAACAACAGGACACTGATGCTAATGTGGGGATCAGCTCTTGCAACAGTCCCAGATGTGCACTTTGCCCTACATGCACACCATCACAGACACCAACAAGTATATACGCAACATTAGAAGTGCCTTTCCATGCCTTTTCTCTAATATGACATATGCCATCATCCACCAGTCATGTCCCCCTGGATTCTACATAGGACGAATGGGACTAACACTGCACAAAAGAATGGATGCAAGTCTGACATCAGGACTGAAAACAAAGTAGTATCAGAGCATTTCAACTTCCCGGTACTGGAGACCTCAAAGTGAACATCTTGAGAAAACAGGACTTTAACGGCATCATTAAATGAGAGATTGCTGAACGTCAAAATGTTTCAGGCAATCTCAAAAGAGATCGAACACTTATATGAATAAGAAAATGAGTAACTAGCATCAGTACTGATGGTAGTTTTGGATGACCACAGCTCCCAAGGATGCAGAGCACCCAATGTCCATTGCATTATATCACCTCTTGTTTGGACCTTGGGGTGATCCAATGGGCAAAGTTCAAGAGATAGAATTAATGGGAAAGTTCGCAACCTGGGAATGACTGCAATGAAACTTCTGACTTTATTCTGGCATCATGGATAGAAACAGCCATGGAATTACAAGCCAGGCACTGTGAATGTCTTTGTCTTAGGTCAGCTTTCCCTACGCCTATTTGAGCATACTAGAGACGTCTTAACAGACCTGGAGGACATCATGTTGGGAAATGCTGCTTTAGAATTCTCCTTATTCGAAGGTTGGCATTGGAATCACTCCAAGAAACACTTCTCTGCCCTGGGAATTTGTTTGTTTATTCAACGTATTTATATGGCCACCCATATACTCTGGGCAGTGAACCAATAAAATAGCATGGAATAGTGTGATGACTCTGTCACATCCATAAAGGAACAGTAGCTGATCATTGCTTGCCAATAATCAGTAAGGAAGTTAGAATACAAAAAGTATTCTACATGGCAGAAATAATTTTTTAAAAAATTATCTTCTCTTGCCACAAAACGGTTAAGAAATGAGATGTCTTTGGAATGTTCTTTTGAAGAGATGCTCAAAGCTTTGGGGGACTTACCTTCACCTTCCGTATCTAAATCCCACCAGTTCCCCCCCCCCCAAAGACAACACTGGTATGTTTATAGGCATTCTGTTATGACATTTAGCATTTACAGAAAGTTTTTAAAAACTAATGAAAATTTCAGTGAATTTTTGATTCACTATGTCTGGACTGCTCCTGAATCTCATCTGGGCCGGTACGCAGACTACCGGTTGAGGGCCCGATCTGTCAGAAGCCACATAATAAACAATATAAAAGGAAAGATGGTTACCGGTTCCTAAATCAAAATGATCTGTGGCTTCAACATTCCCATTGTATGACTACACAATGCACTTTATTTTTCAAAGCAGTCGTTTTGAAAGTCACTCTTCAATTGTGTGGTAAAGGAAGATGAATCAAACATGGCTCTTCATAAGCCACCAGCTGTGAAGCAAATGTAAAAGAATAAGCGTGTCCAGCTAGAAGACCTCCTCCGGCTTTGGCTGCTTCAGAGTTTTTATTACTTCTATTATTTCCTCCTCTTTTATTGAAATAAATGAATCTTGTGCAGCGAGAAGGAAAAATAGTGGTTAATCAGGTTTGGTAATAAAACACTTACTTGCCTAGGCTTGCCGTGAGCACCTTTTAAATCACTGAACCTGTATATAATCTCTCTCTTCTTTGCATCTAATGCAGTGTTTCTCAACCTTGGCAACTTTAAGATGCGTGGACTTCAACTCCCAGAATTCAAAACAGCATGTTGGCTGGGGGATTCTGGGAGTTGAAGTCCACATATCTTCAAGTTGCTAAGGTTGAGAAACACTGATCTAAAGGCATTACTAATTAGCATTTTAATCCTAACTCTTGTATAAAAATTTCTGGTGACTTCTGAAACTTTTTGATATGCAAATCCTTTTTAATATTTGCATTAAGACTTTTGGAAGCATCCTGCATTGTGTTCTTATTGTTATAACTATAAGGAATATTCAGTACAGTATTTTTAACTGAGTATTGTTTGTGAGTGTGTGATTGTTCTGGAGCCTGTAATTAATATCACACCATTCTGTACTCTGTTTCTTCCCCCAGAGGCGTTTGTTTAAATAACTGAACAGGATATAAACCAGGTCAGACTGTATTTCCACAGTATAGGCCACGTCTGCATAATTGCCTTGCCATGATCTCTTTCCCTAAATCTTGCTATTGTAGGATGTGCTCCTACCGTGCATGCAAAACAGGCCTGTGCTGCACTGCTGTCTATAGCAATGTGTTTGGCTAAAATTCCAGTTACACCAATCTGGAGGTCACCATTACACATAGAATTGGAAGCAGGGAGGAATCTCTGTCTAGAAAGCCGGTACATCAATCCTTGTAAATAAAAAACACTCAAAATGCACTGTAATGCAGAATCTAAAGATGTCTTAAAGCAGTGTTTTTCAATTTTGGCAACTTTAAGAGATGTGGACTGCAATTCCCAGAATTTCCCAGCCAGGTTGAAAAATGCTGGCTTAAAGTATCCATCTAATGCTTTTTTTTTTTTTTTTTTTTAAGAGTGCAAGGTTTTCTGAAGAATCTAGAAGAGACATATGAAAAAAGTCTTTTAACGCTTTAAAACGTTAACATATTTGACGAAAATACAGCTTTACAAAAAAGTGCCATGTTTATTTAATATGCTGTAAAAAGCCTTATATAAATATTTATAATGCTTTCTATTGTAACTTTTTGCAAACCACAACTACGGAATTTGTTTATTAAAAAAAGAAAAGACAGTTGCCATTCAATCCCAAAGTTTTGAAATGAAATTGACATCAAACAAGGTCAGATGCAGCCTGCTGAAATGTTCAAAGAAAATCAGAATATTCTTGAAGTACTTGTTCATTACTTGGGTACGTTTGTTAAACGAGGAAAATAAATCAAGCAATCAAAAATACGAAGCTCATCCCTGGACTCGGATAGCCTTTAATGAGCTTCAGGCCAGTAGTGACTGCAGGGGGGCAGAATCACAAAATCAGTGTGGTGCTGTAAGCCCCGCCCCATTTCTGCATATGTCATGATGTCACTCAACATGGCCAGAAGGGGTGGAGCTTACAGCGTGATGCTGCTTTCATTGGTTCGACACAAGCAGGAAGCTTCTGCAGATGCACCCGCTTCTGTTGTAGATACTCATCCTGTAAATCCCAAAAAGTAATCACAGCAAGGAATAAGCTTATTAAAGCTACCAGCATATCTGTTTGAAGAACTGTGGTATCCAGAACTTCTCTCTAGGCTACCTTCCATCAAAACTAGTTGCTGATTTAGACTCCAAGATGCAGATCAAGACCAGTTGGCCAGCCACCTCATACATCTGAGATACAAGTGACAGTGATCATAAAGCCAAGCCTTCAGTGGGCTACTTTCAATGTTAATCAGAGTTCTCTGTCACGTGGCATCCCGTGAAAGTGGCCTTCCACAACCCACCTAATTTAAAACATGACCTGATTCCCTAGCAAACCAGATCACCAGCGCAATTTCCAGGCATCGTTATTATTCATAATATTATTCCAAGGGCTGGCAATCCTGGTTTACTTCTGGATCATCTCCACCTAAAAGCCTCTGCCTGTTATTTATTTCTTGCATTGTTCTCTTGGATTGGATGATTTTACAAGTCAGGTGGGAAAATGGACAGGTTGGGAGGCACCTTCAGGTGAAAAATCCTTGCCTGCAGAAAGTTAGAAGACCAGGGGAAACCAGGTAGCCTTCATACAACATAGTACTTGTTGTCTACCTATGGGAGCTGTTCTATTTTTTTTCTCCCTTTAACCGGGAAAACCTTGGACTTCTGAAGCAGTACACTCGCTAGAACTCTGTCCCATTAAGCTTATGATTTTCTGATTCATCTTTAACTCAAACTTCCCGTACAAAAATAAATAAATAAAATACAATACTCGGCCTACCCTAGCTTCACTAAACCAGCAATTTCCAGGATTTTAATTCAGAAGAACTTAACCAGTTCAAAACATGGAAAGAAAAAGTTTTATCCTTTTTAGTACCCCACATTAAAGAGAAGTGAACCACATTATAATTCTGAAAAAAAGAAAAGAAAACAGAATTGGTCAAGGTATTTCAGGATCTTTGGTACTCAGAGGAGAACAAAATGGCACAAACCATCAGCCATGTTAAATTCAGAAGGAAATGAAACAAGCAAAAGATAAGCAAAATACTGAATTTATGCCAGATGTTTTTCCTAGATGTTTCCAGCTATTAAGATGAAAGCTGTAGCTCACTTTTATTTGCTAAAAGTGCCCTCTTGTTTCTGAAAACAGGCAAATACATATCTCTCAGTTGATCCAGTTCTATACCAGTTTGACTACTAGTTACAGACTGAAATAGTAACTTCTCTTTAGTGTTAAAACTAGGAGCCCTGAGCTAGAGCATTAAGCCAGTAAGTGTGGCAAATAACTTTTAAAGATAGCTAGTCTGGACCATTAAATGTATTTAAGTAACTCTATGACCGCTTCTTAAGTCACCACACTTCATCTGTAGGGATCAACGTTACACAACGTGGCTTCTGATTCTTTTCTTTTTTCACACTTCCTATCTAAAACCCTGCCCAGGTGAATACACAACGGAGCAATCTGACTGAGAAACAGACAATGTTGCTTCTTACATACACATTATCTTTTGTAACTCCTGGGCAACTTGAACAGAGCACAGTTCAAACCAAGCCACATGACATACAAGAGGCAGAATTTGACCTTTTAACATACATTTCGGCAGTGCAGATACAAAGAGGACATCGATTCCTTTTTTTTTTTTTTTAAATTCCAGTACCTCTGTTGTAATAAAGTTAACAAAAATATTCACTATTAAAAGAAGCCGCCAGCTGGCACTGCCAACTAATTGTTTATAGTAGTCTTAGAAATCCTAATCCGGTAGAATTCCCTAATTTCTGGGCAAAGTCCACGCGCGCCAGTCTGTGAACATTGCAGAATGTCAGGATCGAGGCCAGGGTACCTGAGTTCTTAATTAAGTTTCCTTTTCTGCTGCATTTCACAACTTCCCTGCTTTCATGTAAGAAGGGATCGAGCCCCGCTGAGTCAGCCCCTCAAATCTCTTGTAGGTATAATTCAGAAAAACCCAGTCTTTGGACTTGAAATCCGGTTCGGTGGTATTTGGCACTAGAATGCAAAAATATTGATTTTAAGGACACAGATAGGCGCAAGTTGTCTAGCTTCCATGTAAAGTCAATTGAAATGCAAAGTAGGAAGATGGTTTTCAAGTACACATTTATTATTAAACCATACAAAGAAAGAACTAGATCTAGTATCTAAAAGTAAACTGTTGAATATTGTTTCTTGTTTTTTTATCTTCTACATTTTTTTCTGTGTGCTGGTCTGAGCCTTGGGGAGTAGATGTAACTAACAACCAACCAAGATTTCTTTAAATGCTTGGGATTGGAATGAAATTAAGAAGGACGTGTTAAGATGGGAGAAATTAAAATTGTCACTATTGGGGAGAATCTCTATGATAAAAATGAACGATTTACCAAGAATGATGTTTTTGTTTCAAACAATACCTGTTTTGACTACTGATGGACCATTTAAACAATGGCAGAAAGATATATCTAAATTTATATGGCAAGGGAAAAAATCACGAGTTAAATATAAAGTGTTACAAAATGCAAAGGAAAGAGGAGGACTGGATCTGAAATTGTACTTCATTGCTTGTGGTTTGGTTTGGATGATAGACTGGATGTTGCTGAGAAACAAGAGACTTTTAGAAGATCATGACCTGAGGTTTGGATGGCATGGATATTTATGGTATGATAAAGTTAAAATTAATGTGGATTTCAAAAATCATTATTTTAGACGTGCCATATTGAGAATATGGAATAGATATAAATCCAGGTTGTGCCCTAAACACCTATATGGATCTCAGCTCTAGAACCACATCATAGAAGAGAAGCAGCAGACAAAGACAAATGGTTGACGTACCAGAAACTATTGGAAAACCATAAGGGGGAATTTAAAATTAAGCCAAGAGAGCAGTTAATAGCAGAAGGATATAGTTATCAATGGTTTTCCCACTTACAGTTATCAGAAAGATCCAAAATGGACAAAAAGACTTATGGTATGGTAAGAGGGATTTGAAGTACAATTGTGTACTGATGATGAACATGTAATTGCTAAAATGTATAAACTTTTGTTGTAATTTGAAACAGAGGAAGAACAAGTTAAAGAATGTATGATAAAGTGCTAAGTATTTTGGTTATAATATACAGATGGATCAATGGGAAAATACATGGTTAAAAGGGTTGAAATTTACATTGTGTTATGATCTCAAAGAGAATTTTTACAAAATGATGTATTGTTGGTATATGACGCCAGAGAAATTATCTAGAATGTATAAAGGCACTTTAAATGTATGTTGGAAATGTGAACAACATGAAGGGATATTTTATCATGCTTGGTGGGCATGTAAAAAAGCTAAAAAAATTTGGATTCAAACATATACATTGATACAGAGGATTTTAAAGATTAATATTCAATTGAAGTCAGAACTGTTTCTTTTAGGATTAATGGATAAACACTTAGAAAAAAGCCATGGAAGATTATTTCAATACATGATTATTGTGGCAGGATTATTATATGCACAGAGATGGAAAGATTCAACACTACTCACTATGGAGGAATAGTTGGTGAAATTGACAGATCTTGCTGAGATGGATAAACTAACTTCTCTGATTAGAGAAAAGACACTGTCTACATTTATTGGTGACTGGAAACCTCCTATGGACTTTTTCCATAAATGAAAAAAATGAAGTTGTGATTTATGGTTTTGATGATTAGACAGGATAGATTATAAAAAGAAGAGTATTATGAGGTAACTTTAGAGAATAGATTATAAAAAGAAGAGTATTATGAGGTAACTTTAGAGAAGACACTGTCTACATTTATTGGTGACTGGAAACCTCCTATGGACTTTTTCCATAAATGAAAAAAATGAAGTTGTGATTTATGGTTTTGATGATTAGACAGGATAGATTATAAAAAGAAGAGTATTATGAGGTAACTTTAGAGACAGGGGTTAAAATATAATAGTATTTATAACTACTGTGAAGAATATCGGAAGCCACTGCTTTATATCTTTTTTCTTTCATTTCTATTTTTCTTTAACTTTTTTATTTTCTGCACTTTTTGCTTTCACTTTGATTTCTTTCTTTTTCTCTGTTCTTCCTTACTTTATATTAGTTTGTATTAATTTTTATCTTTTGAATAGATAAAACTTAATATAAGTTTTAATAAAAATTATATATATAAAATTGAGTCCTTTTAAATTTGGTAGTATAGTACTATAAAAAATAAATACCATATATTCTCACATATAAGCTCATCTGCAGATAAGCCGACCCTCAAAATGTTTGTACATTTTAATTTTCACAATTGGCTTATTCATGGGCTATCCGTGGATTACCCATTTTTCATGGTATTTTGGTTAAAAACTGGAGGATCAGCTGCTCCGCGGATGGGCTTTTCTGCGAGTATATACGGGATAAAAAAATACTTTAAAAAAGTATTACTGTAGAGACTTTTTCACTGTCTTTAGCCCACCTGGCAAATATTTCATTGGGTCTCTTGCCTTTTCTTCTAGTAAACCTTTATTTTTCTATTTCATTAACTTTTACAAATTTAAAGCCACTTAAGCTGGCTTAAAAAATGTTCTAAAATATGTTCCCAAAGATCCATCTGCTTCTGCCCTTCTCCCATCTGAAACATCAAGACAGTTCAACATGTCACATTATTCAGAGTGTTAATGCACAGAGAGAGAAGGAAGGGAGAGGCTTGCAGGCCTACAGAGAATGTTTCAATTAATTGGGTATGTTTAGTTTAAAGAAGGGAAGGCTAAGGAGAGATATGATAGCAGTCTTTCTAGACTTGAAGCTCGGTCACAGGGAAGAGGGTGTGGATTTATTCTCCACAGCACCCAAAGGTAGGACAAGAACCAACCTATGGAAGCTTTATAGATGGAGATCCAAACTAGAAATATGGATGAATTTCCTGACTGAGAGAGCTACAAAAATTGTGGGACAGCCTGCCTCCTGGTGTCACGGATGCTCCATTGCTGGAAGGTTTCAAGCAAAGAGTGGACAGCCGTTTGTCTGGGATGGTCTGAAAATTCCTGCCCTGAGCAAGGGGTTGGACTAGGAGACCTCCAAGGTCCCTTTCGATCCTATGATTCTAAGAACTTTAAGGTGAGAGGTAGTCATTAAGACAACAAGAGCAAACTACTGCCCAAGCTGCGTATTGCGGCATTAATATGTGCACTCACCTGGTTGTAAAATATCAGATTCGGGGAATTCATCAAAATTGGAAGTATCATCTATACTTTTGATTTCTATAGTGATCGCAGCTGGCCTTTCTCTAAAACAAAACACAAACATCACAGAAATCAACTTTGCAAGCAACTCTATCATCATCAGACAGCAGAATTCAATCTTGCTCCAAAACATTTAAAATAGCACAAGAACTCCCAACACGCACACAAATTTATCTGCCACTTCCTTCATGGATGCATTTAGGTGTCCTATGGTCAACCAAGATGGGGTTCATCCCATCTTCTCTCTGATGTTCTGCATCTGCTCTTCTTTAATCACCATATCTGTCATTTTATCCATAGCACCTTTTCCTAGATAATTTTGAATCGGGGTGCCTGTGTGTGAGGATTGGGGTGTAGGAAGCCAAGTAACAGACCTTTGATTGCTAGATGGTGGCTCCATCTTTACTTTTTTGACACCCCCCATGCCCCTGTTCCAGTCCTGTTGAATATCAGAAACTGGCAACAGAAATTGGGTGACCTGCTGCATAATTCATAGTTACATAGTTGTATTTTAAAATCTATTTTTAAAAAAAATCTGTGAGAATGTTTTTATTCTAATAATAACTTTTTATCTTTTTATAATGCCTGTTGTTCACTTGTTATTTTAATTGTACACCATCCAAAGTTGCTTTGTGTGAGATGGGTGGTTATATAAATGTGATGGATGGATGGATGGATGGATGGATGTATGTATGTATGTATGTATGTATGTATGTATGTATGTATGTAGAAAGAAAGAAAGAAAGAAAGAAAGAAAGAAAGAAAGAAAGAAAGAA